TTCCATCCCTCGGAAGACCTGGTTGTATCAGCCAGCCTGGACCAGACTGTACGCGTTTGGGATATTTCTGGTGAGCTCCCCAAGTTCAGGGGTACCCTAGGCATGTCTGGCGAAAAACTGCAATTGCCTGAAATAGAGTAGTTGGCTTAGAACAAGAATATTTAGAATATTCTGTTCCTATGTAACAGCATCTTTGTTTTTGAAGGTATTGAATCTGCTTTGGTGGTTCTTTATGTTAGAGGTATTCATTAAGAAAGTCTTGCTCTGAAAAATTCTTTTGAAGAAATTTTCACTTTTTAGATTAGCTTTTAGTTAAAATCTGTATACTGTTGGGTATATTTGAGTAAGAATCAAGCTTTTTTTCTAAAATAAGAAAAAATGCACATTCAACAAAAATGAATTTTAAAGATAGATTAGTGCAGGAGAACAAGACTCATGGATCCTATTGCCTGATGTAGGAACGTGGCAGTGTGTGTGTAGGTGTGTGTATTTTTGTGTCCAGAATACCTTTTACTGAACAGACTTTTACGGTAATAGGCAGACTTCTAGGACCAGAAATTAAGTAACTTATAGATTTTGGATAATTGGGGTACTCCTTCCTTTTACAGTCTGTATATCTTGATTTTGAGGTAATGATATAAATGTTCAGCGCTGTATAGAAGAGCTCTAAGAAGATCTAATCAGAGAATTTAAATGCAGAGAAAGAAATGTGCTTATGAGATAGGCACGCTGGATAAATGGAAGTGCTTTGTTGAGTGTTGGAATAGGGAAATGAGAATTGATGACATTTACTTGTCACTTGCTGAATTGTCTCTTTCTATTCCTTTTTTTGCCTTAGAAATTCTCGGAGACTGGGTTCTCTGAAAGGTTAGTGGCTAGACTATGAAACTATTTTCATTCTACAAAAAGAAGGCCACTTCATAGGTCCTTGCTGGTTTCTTATGGTAATAAAGCAGCAACCTTTCTGCATTGTACACCTGCAGTGATAATTTTTCCCAACTCTTTTGTGGCCTAGTAGGCTGGGGCAGTGTAGCATTTGCTGTTCTTATGAGCCATTAATCAACAGCAGGTAGGAAAAACCAGATTCCCAGATGCAGCATTTGGAATGTTGGAGTAGCAGTTGGTTAAGATTCACGTAGCATAAAAATAAGCCAAGGAAAAGATGGGGACAATTGGAGAGTAGAACCTATAGATTATCTTGTCTTTGCCATTTTTGCAGGCTCAGAAGTAGAAGGGAGTTGTATAAACAAGAAAGAGCCCTGGTGGCACAGTAGTTAAAATGCTTGGCTGCTGACCTAAAGGTTGGCGGTTCGAAACTACCAGCCGCTCCGCAGGAGAAAGATGTGGCAGGCTGCTTCTGTAAAGATTTACAGCCTTGGAAACCCTGCGGGGCAGTTCTGCTCTGTTCTGTGGGGTCTGTATGAGTCGGAATCAACTTGATGGCAACAGGTTTGGTTTTGGTTTAGTGTGAATAAGTTTGCATCAGAGATAGGACAAGTATTCTGTCTTCTAGGGTTTCTGCCACTGCAGTTTTTCGTCAGACTAACTAGGCTTTTTGAAGTGCACCCAGATGTGACCAGTCATGCCAGCAGGAGGAGCTAGGCACAGGCACTGTGAGTCTGTGCCCTCTGCTCACTGCCAGTCCCAGGGATCTTAGCACCTGCTCTCGCAGTAACCTAGTTATGGCTCTCTGTGGTTTTTTACTGCACACATTCAGAGCTCCCTCTCTGTCTCAGGATATAGGAACCTGGTGGAGTTGAGTCCTAGCTCATGCTACTCCAGCTGACCGGGGGCAATTTTCTAGAATAGCCTTTCTCAGCTGAGGTTCTATGAGAGAATTAAGCCCGAAAGAAAATACTTTGACTTTTTTCAGCTCTTCCAGGAGTGGTCTACAGGTAATGCCATTCTAGATCATAGGAGAGAAGCTAATTCATTACATAGCTAAACCGATGTTTTTGGACATTAGGGCTTTAATTCTTTTCCGGAACATCAGATTGAGAATGGCCTTATACTGTCCCCTTCTAAAAGTGCCGTTTGTGCCACCTGGTACCAGCACAGTGTGTTCCCTGTGGTCTAGCTAAAGTAAGTTGGGGCAATCAGGTGGAAGGTTTCTTCTCTGTCACCATGAAATGCCCAAGGCAAGAAACTCTCTTCTTCACCTTTTGTAGGCAGAGAATATTTTTGCATCAGAATTAAGGGCCCTAGATCAGAGACGAGAGGGAGACAGTGTGACCCTGGTGGGGTTTATACTTGCTCTTGAATGCGTGAAGTGCATGGATTACTATATAATAACATTGTAATTGCTATGCTTAGTATATGTGGTAGTAAAAATTTCATGCTAACTTGCTGTGCTAATGTTAATGTTCTCTTTCACTATTTCTAAGTGTTTTTCTCCACCTCCAACTCTCTTGACTTCCAGTAACCCCATAACCAGAGTGGAAGGAGATGCTTTGGTATTTAACCAAGTGGAAGGAGCTTTTGGGGTCGTCTTTTGCACTTAATCTTTTCTTTTCTAGAAGCTAGCATACTCTTTTTAGCAGAGTTGTTTTTGCTTGAGTTCAAATAAGTGCTGAACACAGGAAGAGGAATTAGTTTTCAGGCCTGTTAGAGACCAGAGCTAATATTTCTAAGAGAGGGAAGTTGGTTCTGAGTAAAAGAATGAATACCCCCAAATTTAGAGTACGGGTGAAAATTCTAATTTTTCTGAGTGTCTCTCTTAGAAAAAAGGGCACACTGTCTGAGCTAGGTAAACAGTAAGAGAATATAGAGATCCTTAAAGGAAAACCTGTCCCATGATACCTCCCCCGTGAGGATGATGCCCATGGGGCTTAGCTTGACCGTAATCTTTTGTGTTAGCCTGGCAAAAGTTATTTGTTTCAAAGGAACTGTGTTTACAACCTAGATATAGAAGATAGGTGATTTCTTTAGCTTGAGTTTCCAAGTAAACTGACAGTTAAATTATTTTAATTTGCTTATACCTTTGCATGCTAAGCCCATGTAATTCAGGCTCAATCTTTGAAATGGCAACTAAAAACGTATTAATTTGCTGCCAGATCCTGTCTTCATCCCTCTCTTTTACTGCTTCCTCTGGTCCCCACTGGGAGATGTGCATCAAACTGGTCCATTCTGAGAGTGTCTTCTCTTCCCTCTGGATTTGGGTAGCTGCTGTAGAAATTTTCCATCTGTCGTTCAGCCCTAGTGAGTGGCTTGTCGAAGGCTCAAATATTCCCTAAGTATCTTTTCACTGCCTGTCACTATTCATCTGTCTGTTTTTGCCCTTCCTCTCTTCCTGGATCATTACACGCAAGTGCAACGAGGGCTTCATTCTGTCATACAGCTTTCCCTTTTAATGTGTTTGGTGAAGCTTATTGGAAGTGAAGTTCCTCACAACTGTCTGTCTTTGTGTCTTCCTTTGAATCTGTTTCATAAACCAGGCTCATTAGAAAAAGTCGACAGGTTCCATTAAAGGGACAAGTGAAATAAGTGAAAGGAGGCAGCCCTGTGATTATGTATTTATGAATTCTTGAGAGAGTGCTTTTTTTTTTTAAGCATCAGCTTTTATTTCTTTCTACCTATTGCATGAATGCTCATTTTGGACTGGGGACAAGAAAATGAAAACTGCCATATCTTTTTAAGCTCTTGCTTCTCCACTGCTGATGTTTAGGTGTCACTATAACCGAAGAAATACAGTGTAATTTTAAAACAATGAGTATAAATACAGTCATTGAAATTAAGTTTTCGTGTTTTTTTACAGATGGCAAACTTTAGGTTTGAAACTACTTAGGTTTTATTTTCAATGATGGGTTTTATTTTCTGCCGATTACAGGTAGTTGTTTTTACTAGTGTTAGGTAGTTTAATCTCCCACTTTTTCCAAAAAATACTTCAAAAGATAGATTTTAGTCCCAGTTCTTTTGTTTTCTCATCTATACACAGATATAATTATTCCTGGCTTATTCCTACCTCAAAGGGTTATCAAGATCAAATCACATAACATATGTAAGAATGCTTTGAAAACTACAAGGTGCTTTTCAAATGTAAGGTAGTAGTATCATTATCATAATTTTGGTTCTGACTGTAGCACAAATAGCTTTTAAAGATGGATGTATTTGAGCCATAAGTGTGGGTCTTACTCAGATAAGGCTCTTTTTTTTTTTAATCATGTCTTTTTTCCATATGTTTTAAAATTATGGGCTAATTCCTCTAAGTGAGAACAGCCTCCAAAAGTTTTAATGGCACAATACAAGTAGTCAGACTTACAACCAGCCTAGGAATCAAATAGAAGTTATGAGTATACTTTCTGTGTAGTCCATAGTTGTGGGTATCTTCTACCAAGCAGCTGGTCTGTACTTCATAGGTCCAGTTTTCATAACCCATTTAGAGCTTCCCCATGACTTGCCTATAAGACTTTCAGTTTGAGAAACACTGAGGTGTAGTGCTTCCCAGATGACGGCTTTTCTTTAAAAATTTTTGAAACAGTTAGATTTCACGAAGTTGAAAGTGGAATTTGAATGTTTACCATTTGAGGCCACATTTCAGGAACATTGGAGAGTGGAAAATCGGCATTATCTGAGGTAGATAGCTCGTGAGGTTTGTTGAAGAAGAGGTTACCTGATTCAGAGGTTTGGGATGGCCTTTTCCAGAAGGACCAGTAGTTGATCTGTTAAGTTAGTGTTAGGGGAGCAAAAGAGAAGACAGTGAATGTACTTTTAACATTTTGAACATTTTAAGAAAGAGATAGGAGCTCTGGAGTCTCTTTTTTTTTTTTTTTTTCCTTTCTTCAGTTTCTCTAAATTTCTTTTCCCCCTCTTTTTCTTTAATGTTAGTCTCACTGTACCTTTCTGTGTTTCTGATACTGTACTGTTTTTTATAACGTTTTGTCTGCATTTTTCATCCCACTCCTTACCCTTCAAAGGTCTAAGGAAAAAAAACTTGTCCCCTGGTGCGGTGGAGTCAGATGTGAGAGGAATAACTGGGGTCGATCTGTTTGGAACTACGGATGCAGTGGTGAAGCATGTGCTGGAGGTACTTATCTCTGCAGCCAGTGCTGGCTGTGGGCTCTTCTCTAGGGAAACAGTTCATGTACTCATTGCTTCCATACATATCTATGGAGTGCTTACTAAGTGTCCGGCACTGTTCTAGACACTAGAGACAGAGTAATGAGTGAGCCAACAGAGAAATGAAGCTTCCGTGCAACCCGAGGGAGAGGGAGAAAGCTGGTCATAGGCACCATCACCATCTGAAAGCAGAGCCCATTCTCAAGCTTCTTGTAAGAGGAAAAAGTAATCAAAATTACTGAGAACAAATCATGTGTAGGTAACTTGCTGGCATGGTGGAAAAATGGAAAAACATAAGGTAAAGCAGCTAAATTTTATTTTATATTATCTGATGTAATCCTCACAGCTATCCACTGAAGTAGGTATTTTTAACCCCATTTTGCAGATAAAAAAATGAGATTTAGAGAAATTAAGTAGTTTGCCAAAGTCCACATGTGTCTAGTAAGTGGAAGAACTGGGATTTGAACTTGAATCTGTCTGACTGTAAGACCCAGGTGCTTTTCATACCACTCAGAAATACTGCTGGTTCTTTGTGTGGAAATTCTCAAATGGGAACTTGCTGTGTAAACTTTCACCAAAACCACAAAATACTATTAAAAAAAAAAAAAAAATACTACGGGTTCAAAACTGCCTTATCTGTGATTCTGTCATAGTATAGAGTATAACTACATAAGTAGGATATAGAGTCTCTTAAAATCAGTAGTTCTTAAACTTTTTGCTCTCAGGACCTCTTTATACTCTTAACATTTATTGAGGACCCCAAAGAGTTTTTGTTTAGCACTTTTTACCATATTAGAAATTAAAACCAAGAACTTTCTAAAACATGAAATAAAGAAGTGCACATTCCATTAGTGGACAGTGATGACATCATCACATGTCATGTAGCCTCTGGGAAACTCTGGACACTCACAAGAGAATAATAATGAAAAAAGCAAATAAAGGCTTAGTGTTATAATGAAAATAGTTTTGACCTTGCAGACCACCTTGAGGGGGCTTGGGTACTGCTAGGGGTTTACATACCACACTTGAGAATTGCTGCTTTAAGTTATAAAAAATGTCTTTATTCTTGAGATATTAGTAATTAGTTGGAGAAATAAGATATAATTAGGCTAGTCATAAAATAAGTCTGTATACTTCAAACCTTGAAGCGAAACTATCCCCTAAAGTCGTCTTTAAACAAAAAAACAGTTTAGCTCAAAAATTAAATAATATTATCCGTAATTATTGTACTTAAAAAAAATATATAGGAGGACAAAATGACAACAGTAACTGAAACATGGATAAGAAGTTTAGGAAGACAGTCTGAATTAACGGGGTGAAACAACTAGAACAGAAATAAGAAGAACGTTGACACAACGTGAAGAATGTAACCAATGTCTCCGAACAGTATGTGTAGAAGTTGTTAATGGGAGCGTGTGTTGATGTGTATATTTTCACCAAAAACGAAAAGAAAATTTTTAAAAAGGCAGTAGATCTCAAATGCAAATGAAGTTGACTTTGAGAGTAGAAAGAGTTGGGAATTCCCATGAGAATCTGAAGGGTAGTATTGGATAGATTGACATGGTAATGCTCACGTTCAAAATCTCAGAGCTGCATAGTCCCTTGAGACTTTCACATAAAGAGGAAAAATCAGCAACGTCTTTATAGCCAGCAGCGTGGTTCATTGATTTCCTTTGAGTCAGCAATTATAAAGCCATTTTAGAAGAAACGCTTCTGGTTTTCCATAGGGTCATGATCGTGGAGTAAACTGGGCTGCTTTCCACCCCACTATGCCCCTTATTGTATCCGGGGCAGATGACCGTCAAGTGAAGATCTGGCGCATGAATGGTGAGTGAACCAGTGACGGTATTACCACAGCTAAGAGACTGACTTCTGGCCACCAAGGAGTTGCCAAGTCTTTTGGACTTTCTGACCTGTTTTCCTACCTTAGGTGGTTATGTTATGCTAGTCCTGGGAGCATAGAATTGCCCCTTTTCCTTTTTTCCTCTGGTGACATCCTGATTTTGAGGCATATGAACAGGGTTAAGGGGATTAAGAATTAGTTAGTTTGCTCGTTCAACAAATTTTTATTGAGTACCTACTTGTAATAGGTATTGTTCAAGACTGGAGATAGAGTAATGACTAACCCAGATAAAGCCCCTGCCTAAGGGAGCTTACATTTATTCTGAAATGGCAGCTAGGGACTAAGGCTGTCAGGACAAATAAAACAGCGAAAGCAGATGAAGAATGGTGGAGAATGCAGGGTCAGAATAAGAAGACAAAGAACTATGTACAGATTAAGAGACTTAAATGAAGAAATTGCCATATTAGAAAGAAGGTACTGATTTAGCATTTTGTAGTCATACCTAGCATTTAGTAAAGAGGATGTCACATCTACAGATCCCAAACTTACAGTAAGTAATAGAGAATTGTAATGACCTAATTTTCTTTCATCTTCCAGAATCAAAGGCATGGGAGGTTGATACGTGCCGGGGCCATTATAACAACGTATCTTGTGCTGTCTTCCACCCTCGCCAAGAGTTGATCCTCAGCAATTCTGAGGACAAGAGTATCCGAGTGTGGGATATGTCTAAGCGGTGAGGGCCTTACGGATGTTGTGTAACCAATAACAGGAAAGCCCATGTTTCTCTCTCCCTCTCTTTTTAAATGAGATTAGTATATCTCTGTTTATCTGTCTTTATCGTCAACATGTAGAAAAATCAAATCATATATTTTGAAAACTTGAGACCTGGAGATTAGCCAGCATTTTTAAAAATTTTTAGTCAAGTTGACTGATATCTAGATCTCTTCAAAGTTCTAGATTTAGGCATGTTCTTCTCCTTCTCCCTCTAATTCTGAAGCTAAAGAAGTAAAAAAGTGAAATCAAAGCAGTACAGTAGAAAGTCATGATGAATGGGGGAAATTGAAATATTAAACCAGTAGGAGCAATTTGAAGTCATCTCCTTCTGTCCCTTAGTAGAATTGAATTGAATTGATGGAAATTAACAACAACAACAAAAAAATTACTTAGGATATGAAATTTATCTTCCCTGGTTTAATTTTTTAATCAGCTTGCTGGTTTAGCACCCAGTATTATCATGTAGGAAACTGGTGGTGTAGTGGTTAAGAGCTATGGCTGCTAACCAAAAGGTTGGCAGTTTGATTCCACCAGGTGCTACTTGGAAACCGTATGGGGCAATTCTACTCTGTCCTATAGGGTCGCTATGAGTCGGAATTGACTGGACGACAGCTGGTTTGGTTTTATTATGTATGACAGGCTGAAGATTCCTAGGGAATTGCTATTTTCCTTTGTGTACCCTTTGCTTCTCTAGGACTGGAGTTCAGACCTTCCGCAGGGACCATGATCGATTCTGGGTCCTGGCTGCCCACCCGAATCTCAACCTGTTTGCGGCAGGTAAGGGCCATGTCCTTTTTCCTTTGCTTTAGTTTAGAGTTTATAAAACCTGAGAATGATTCTCCATTAGCTTTGTCTCCAATAAATGCATAGTAGGATGGCAGTGAGAAGTAGAATTCTCGGAGCCAATTAGTTGGAGCTTTTCTCCTTGTTTTCCCCTTTATCTTCTTGGAGTAGTATTCTTGTAGTGTCCCCTTCTCCATTAAGATCGAACTAACAATAAAGCCCATTCTCTTTGACTAGTTCCTAGGAGATGTGGGAGTCTAGTACTGTACATTTGGAGTTCTCAGATAGAGGGAACTAGCTGAGATTTAGTCATTCATTTAGCAAGTACATGTTGAGTGCCAGGCCGTATTCTGGGTACTGGCGTTACAGCAGTGCATTAAACAAAGTCCTTGTCTTTATGTAAGCTTTCATTATTGGTGGAAGGAGATAGACAATGAAATAATAAATACATAAAATGATGTGTGATGAAGGGTAGAAACTAGGCAAAAGTAAGGGGGACAGAGAGGGATGAATGTGGAGACTGGGGTTTTATATCAGGTGGTCAGGAAAGTGAAGGGGAATGAACCAGCAGGAACAGCAAATGCAAGCCCATGATGGGAGGTGCTTCGTGCGTCGGAGGAATGTTAGAAAGGCCAGTCGGAGCACAGTGAGTGAGGGGCTAAGTAACAGGAGGTGAGACCATGGCTAGATTGGGCATTGCATTGCAAGCCATAGTTTGGACTTACGATTTTATTTTGAATGGATGGAAAGCCACTGAAAGGTTTTGAGCAGGGGAGTGACGCGATCTGGTTTACTATAGAGACAGGGCTTTAGAAGGACAAGGACAGAAGGTTTCTCTAAGGGATGGATGATACTAGTAGGGAAAAAGCAAAACATTTTTAAAAAACCAGAAAGGCTTTTTAAACTAACATCTATTCATTCAGCCAGTATTTTGTATGTGCTTGTTATATGCCGGGGTCTGGGAAGAGGATGGAAATTGGAGTAATTTCTGCTTTCAGGGTGCTCACAGTCTAGTGAGGATGGTAGTCTTAAACAGAGTGCGAGGTGCTAAGTGCGGTAATATCGGTTTGTATAAAGTGTTAGGGGAACACAGAGCACAGAGGATGGTGTGTTTTAACTGTGGCAGTATGAGGTAATATTAGGAAATAATTCCAGAGATTTATTTGCCTAGATTCTAAGAGTTTAACTAAAGATGGCAGGTAAGGGGTGTGTTCAGGTGTCTTAACTTGTTTTTAGCATACGTGCACAAACTTTGGCATGAGGGTTTGCTCTCCGCCCTCTGGCATCACTACAATAAACAGAAGGGTTTACGTGAGCCCTCCAAGGGGCAGGAGAAGCCAGCCAGAGACAAATCACATCATGAGGCTCTGTGGTGTCCACTGCAGTTATGGGTAGGAATTTGTACCCAAGCTTAGTCCTCATATGTCTCCTGTTTCTAGCTTTCTTTCCTGCCTACAGCTATTTTTTTTGTTTTTCTCTCTCTCTCCTTCCTGTGCCCCAGGACACGATGGTGGCATGATTGTGTTTAAACTGGAACGGGAACGGCCAGCCTATGCTGTTCATGGTAACATGCTGCATTATGTCAAGGACCGATTCTTACGTCAGTTGGATTTCAATAGCTCCAAAGATGTTGCTGTTATGCAGTTACGGAGGTAAATCTGATTTGCTTCTTCTCTCCAGACCCTCTCATCCGTCACCATGATACAATACCCACAAACTGGTCTTTTTAACAACATTTTGGATCTAATCTCATCTCAGATGGGATCCCCATGGATAAGGCTGCTCAGGTTAAACCCTAAGAGCACGGTGGGCGAGTAGGAGGTATGAGTAGAATGGGAATTCCCTAGTAGAGAATGCTAGTGACTTGTGGAGAGGAAATCATAGCTGTACAGTCTGCCAGGTCTCTTAACAAAGCAGGAGAGTTTTCTGGTAGAGAGTAGCCTGACTTGGTGACAGGCCTTCTGCTTTTATTTGGCATCTCTTTTCTGTAACTCTTCCTTTGCTTTCCAACAACATGCGTACAATCCTGAACCAGAATATATGTCTCTGGAAACTCCTAACTCTGAGGAGATGATAACCTCTGGGATGCCTGGCAAAAGGAGCTGTCCTCTTGGAAAGCCAGCTGCCTCAGCGTGCTAAAACATTCATGGTGGCAAACTTTCGCATGAGGGTTTGCTCTACACCCTCCGGCATCACTACAATAAAAAGATGGGTTTATGTGAGTCCTCCAAGGGGCAGGAGAAGCCAACCAGAGACAAATCACATCATGCGGCTCGGTGGTGTCCACTGCAATTATGTGTAGGAATTTGTACCCAAGCAGAACCAATCTGACTCACTATAGTGAATCCTAACCCTGCCTTCTGTTAAATAATCTGAGTTGTAATGGAGTTTGCTTTTTAACTGTTATTTGCTCATAGCTGAGATAGGGAAGTCCCCAACCTTAAAGGGAGGAAGAGTGTAAATGCAATATTTATTTATATGCCTGATTATAAAAGTGATATATATATGACTAAAGATTGGAGAGGTACGAGGTGTAGGATAAACAGAGGTTCTTACTTCTGTCTTTATGCCTCTTCCCTATTCTTTTTCTTGTGTATCTCTAGTGGTTCCAAGTTTCCAGTGTTCAATATGTCGTACAATCCTGCAGAAAATGCAGTTCTGCTGTGTACAGTAAGTAACTCGTGGGGTCCTCCTAAAATCTCCCCATTTTTCAGTCATCGCTTTCTCATGCCCTTAGTGAATCTGTAATGACGTCTTAGGAGCTATTTAACAGTCATTTTGAGAGTGCTGAGGTAAACACTCAGGCTCACACCAGGTAGGCTTCAGTTGTCATAAACATGTTAAGGGTTCGTGGGTATTACAAGGCTAATAACTTCTGAACTTAATGGAACATTAAGATGAATGACCCAGATCACTAAAAACGATCTGAGAGAATGTTCAGGACTATCTCTTCTATGCAAGAGAGATGCTTATCTTTATTATGCCATTTGGGTAAAAACAGGAGAGCTGCCGTGGGGTTGGGGGGGCCTTTCAGTGGGGTTGCCTTCATGGTCATCAAGTAGCCCTCCCCCTTTCTTGCCACACAAATTGGGGGGAAGAAAGGAAATGACATTCTAATTTTAGTGCCCTGGCTGCCAAGTTAAGAATGAAAACTTGTCTTTCCCCATTTGACTTCCAGTGTCTACTTCCAGTCCTCCTTTAAGATCTTGCAGTACCATATTCTCCTCTTGGTAGCTTTTTTAAACCAACTAGATGTCTTTTTTCTTTTTCTTTCAAGCAGATTTTTAAATTGACAAGTATCTTAGTGTCCTAGTGCTGCTGTAACAGAAATACCCTAAGTGAGTGACTGTAAAGAACAGAAATTTATTTTCTCATGGTTCAGGAGGCTAGAAGTCCACATTCAGGCCACCAGCTTTAGGGGGAGGCTCTCTCTGTCAGCTCTAGGGGAAGACCCTTGTTTCTTTCAGCTTCTGTAGCCCCTGTGTCCCTTTGTTCCTTGGCAGTCTTTACATGGCATTTGTTATGAATTGAATTATGTCCCCCCAAAGTACATGTTGTAAATCTTAACCTCTCTGCCTATGGTTATAATCCCGTTTGGGAATGAGTTGTCTTTGTTATGTTAATGAGGCAGGATTAGTGTAGGGTGTGTCTTGAGTCAATCTCTTTTGAGATATAAAAGAGATTAAACAAGCAAGCAGAAGAAGCAGAGATGAGGGAATAGAGATGCCAAGCTGCAAGAAAATCACCCAGGAGCAGAAGATAAAAGAGACAAGGACCTTCCTCCAGAGCTGACAGAGAGAGAAAGCCTTCACCTAGTCCTGAGTTCAGACTTGTAGCCTCCTAAACTGTGAGAGAGTACATTTCTGTTTGTTAAAGCCATCTACTCGTGGTATTTCTGTTACAGCAGCACTGGATAATCAAGAGAGCATCTATTTTCCCCAGTTTGTGCTTGCTTCTGTGTCTAACCTGTTCTTTCTAAAACTCAAAACTGGTAAATATAGGACATATCCTACATTGATAGGGCTCATTAACATAATGAAGAGAACCCTATCCCCAAATGGAATTATATCCACAGGTGTAGGTGTTAGAATTCCAACATTCATTTTGGGGGACACAATTCAATCCATAACAATGAGTATACTCAGGAGGGGTGCCAGGATATCGAGGTATTAGTCAGCTAATTCGTGGAATAGACAGCATTCCTTGTTTTTGTTCAAATACCAGCGTCTTTGGAGAATAAATAAAGTAACATGAATGCTGTGTTCTTTGGCAAAGAGCCCTGTAATTCTTAGCTGTGGAAACATTCAGATGATCTCTGAGTGAAGGGTGAGAAAAGTATAGATTCAGATTGGTGTCTGTGTAATGGAACTGTTTTGTCTGTCAAAATAAGCTGGTGTGTTGGGTGCCTTTCACTAACAATTGAATTTCCTCCTTTCCTCTACAGAGAGCCAGCAATTTAGAGAATAGCACTTATGACCTGTACACCATCCCCAAGGATGCTGACTCCCAGAATCCTGATGGTAGGCATTCTCTTTGTCTACCCCACTCTGCTTCCAGCTCTCCTCACCCACATCATCGCTCCTCTTCAAGTTTTTTACATCCCATCCCCAGGCCACGGACACATCACTCATGTCTGTTGGCAGGTGCCGCTGACAATTGCATCAGAGGCAACCAGGGTGTGAAATATTCATGTTCTTCTCTCATTTTATTACCCCAGCTAGATATATATATTTTATAATTTAGTTATTAGAAACTCTCCATTTTCTCTTTCAGTGCAGCATGTTATCCTCGTTTATTGTCAGCCAAGATGACTTTCACCCTGGTAGTTTCATTTATTTAAAAATGTGGTTCCAATCCCGGAATGTCTCATCCTGTGACTGGGGATTTATTCTCTCCCATCCACATCCAGATCCGATTTGCTTCCTTTTGTGTGTCAAAAAGATGAGGCTGCTAACAGCCTCACACCCCACCTGGGATCCCAGGATCCAGCTGAGTCCCCTGCCTATCTCTCCATCACCACCATCCCTTGTTGGTGTTCTTACTGTCAGAACTTGCTGACAAAACTGATTCTCAGACTAGATTTGACTCTTACTTATACTGTTTCAGAGCACTTCTTCGTGCGTTTGTAGAGACCACCAGGCCAGAGGTTTATCCCGCTGGTCCCCTTCTTAATAGCATAATTTCGTATTTTAGACCCCATCAACCAATCTGGACAAATATTTTGCTAACTCTTTCTCTTTTGTGGGTGCCACCGTATCATCATTTCTGCTAATACGATTCATTCTCTTTTTAATCTTGACAAGAAGGAGAGAAAACATATATGTATTTGATATCCATAACCCAAAGTCTCGCCTATAAATTAATAAATTAAGCTGCTTCTGACCCAATCTTGTGATTCGGTGCCTCCCTGCTCACCCCTTTACTTTTTTCCCTAAATATGTTTGCAACTGATAGAGTTTAAAATACCTTTGTTTTATTTTATTACCACTTTTATTTTCTCTTCTCCCACCTTTGAAGCAGTGGTTAAGAGCTCGGCTGCTAACCAAGAGGTCGGCAGTTCAAATCCATCAGCTGCTCCTTGGAAACCCTATGGGGCAGTTCTACTCTGTCCTATGGGGTCACTGTGAGTCAGAATCTACTCTATGGCAATGGGTTTGGTTTTGGTTTTGGTAATTAGTAGAAGTGTAGCCCAAAGATGGGCAACAGAAAAGAGGAGAAGAAGCGAAAGCTTGAATAGTGTGGTTCCCCAGCCCGTGGAAAATGGAATGGTTGGTTGTTGTAATAATACAGTAAAACCAGCATGAGGTGGAAACCTGTGAGAGAAGGAAAGCTCAAATATTTTCCATTAAAAGGAGAAATGGAAAAGTGGTAAGACTGCACCCTATCAAAGGTGGAAAACTCTCGAGACCTGGAAAAACAAGGCAGTCCTGTGGAGTTCTGGCTCTCGTAGGTTTCACTGAAATTAGCTTCATAAATTGCCTGTTACTCCATGTGCCAGAGGAGCACCAGGCAAGGCTGGTCAGCATGTTCTGTCTTATTGTCTGCAGATATTAAGAGATAAAAGAGTATTTCAGTACCTTCTTCTGTTTAGCCTCCTAGAAGGTTCCCAGAGAATAGTGTCCATTTCACAATTCTACTCAGCCAGTGAAACGTTTGGAAACTGAGGAACGTTTTGTAACTCGATTTAGGATAACTGGAATGGTTGATCGACATTTATGGAGCAACAGCTTGGTGCTGAATACTGCCCAACTCTGAGCTCGCCTGTCAGGATTTAGTTGGGAGCGCTCTGCCTCACCCTGCTCTACTAGGAGGTCTGCATTTGCATGTTAAAAGCAGCAAAGCAGCTGCGTCCTGGGGAGGGGGCTCTGTCTCTTCTCCAGCTTGTTCAGAGGCCTGTCGATAGGAGGCCCTAGGACACTGCAGGCAGCTTGCTGTGCCGCAGCTTGGCCAGGGAGGCCCTGCTCGTTAGCTTGACAGAGTGCTGTCTCCCAAGATGGGCAGCCCTTCTGCCAGTACATGGTGTTGGCTGAAATGCAGCCACTTGGCCTAGAGAAAAGAGGCTTGGCAGGGGTGAGGGTTGGAGTTTGGGGGGACTGGTGGGGAAAAGTCACTCAACAGTAGCCTCAGGTTACGGCTGAATTAGTTAGGAAGCAGCTGAATTGTCAGAGCCAAGATGGCAGCCAGCAAGACTGGCAACTTCATGGCACCTGACTCTGTCACCTGCCAGTGGCTCACCATATGCTCCCGCCCCTTGGTTTTGTTCTTCCTCAGCCCCTGAAGGGAAACGATCTTCAGGCCTGACAGCCGTTTGGGTTGCTCGAAATCGGTTTGCTGTCCTAGATCGGATGCATTCGGTGAGTTAAGGCTAAACGGGGAAACTAATTTGGCTAGTGTAGTGACAGTGGCCCGTGCATTGCCGAATAAAGAGCATTGTTTTTTTTTCCTACTCTGCCCTGGAAAGCTGTGATTATCGTGTACTTCTACCTCTACCCCTCCCCTAACCCCAATCTCTGTGCAAAATAAATGCTTGAAATTGATTTGTTTGGGATGATAATCATTGTGTCTCTGGGCTTAAGAACCAAGCTAAAGTCACACAGGAGCCAAAAAAACATCACATTTGATATGGGTGGGCTGGTTGAGGAGTAGAAGCGTACTCCTCCCCTGCCTTATCCTACCACCTCCATTGGCACTTGAAATGTAATAGGGTCCAGCACAAGATAAGCAAGGCTCTCTCAAGAAAATACTTAGCAAAAATGTAAGCCCCAGAAATGCTATTTTCTCTCTGGTTGATTGAGGAACTCGGGCATTGGTTAGACTTCTCAGGGTGTTTGAAATGAAGGGAAAAAAAAGTGGTATCAGGGGCCCTTGGAGAGGATCTTGGTTGGAGTGGGCTAACCTGGAGTGGCAACTGACTGGGACAGGAAAAAAAAGTACTAGTTCATTGAAGCTAAGGAACAGTTGCTGAGGGATGGCATCAGTTGTCCTCATACAATACACATGCTTCCTCTCTTAACCTCTTCTTCTAAAAATCATTTCAGCTTCTAATCAAGAATCTAAAGAATGAGATTACCAAAAAGGTACAGGTGCCCAACTGTGATGAGATCTTCTATGCTGGCACAGGCAACCTCCTGCTTCGAGACGCGGACTCCATCATACTCTTTGATGTACAGCAGAAGCGGTAACATGTCAGGTGCCCCTAAGCAGACAGGCATGCGGTGGGGAAGAGTGGACATCTTTATTAGGAGCTTCACCCCTCCCCCCCAGTCCCCGCCCAAGTGCGTTTGCCTTGTGACTCAGCTACTTCCTGTGCTGTAGCTCCAAGGCTTTTTCTAGCTACTTTTCCCTCCATAATCACTCTTCATCCTCCACATACACGTAGCATTACAGTGAGGGACTTACTTGATATCTGTTTATAGGACACTTACTCTGAATAAAGAATGCTCTTGGGACTTAGAATGAGAGGGACACAGAGATGAATGACTCAGTTAATTTCTACACTTAAAGGAGTTTACAGTCCAGTGATAGAAACAGACACATAAATCCCTAATACATGGGAATGAGGGGCGAGGGGTTGGGGAAGAGGAAAGTGGCATACTGTGAGCCAAAAAGTGCAAGTCACTGACTATTCTTCAGGGAATTTTTATTTGGAATTATTTTTTAAAACTAGTTTCTATTACTTTAAAGATGACAAGTAGGCCATACCTGGGACAAGGGAATCAGGTCCATTTATGTTTGCCCTTTTCTCTCTATCCTAGAACTCTGGCATCTGTGAAGATTTCCAAGGTGAAATATGTTATCTGGTCAGCAGACATGTCCCATGTAGCACTACTGGCCAAACATGGTAAGCCTTCATTGTATCCACCCTGATTTAGAGACTGGTCCCTCCCTCCCCCCATCCATGCCAGTCTACTACACTCACCTCATCCAACAGAGCACTCATGCCCTTTGCCTCTTACAGCCATTGTGATCTGTAACCGCAAACTGGAGGCTCTATGTAACATTCATGAGAACATCCGTGTCAAGAGTGGGGCCTGGGACGAGAGTGGGGTATTTATCTATACCACAAGCAACCACATCAAATATGCCGTCACCACTGGGTAAGTTAAATGACATGGGATACTGAGTGGGAGAAGGTGGTTTCTTGAAATCTCTGTCCTGTCTCAAGAGATGTAACTGAAGTCTTCCATGAGCTGCCTTTGTGGAAAAGCCTTGTCTAGCATCTATGTGCTGGGGGCATCAGAATATTCTCTTTTCAACTCCTTTAAAATTGTAAACATAACACAAATAAAGAAAAGCACATAAATTATAAATATGCAGTATAATGAAGAGTTACATAGTAAACATCTGTGTAACTGACCTTTAAGTCAAGAAGTAGAATAATTCTGGCACCCTAGAAGCCCTTGCTGTGTCATCCTTATTAATTACAAACCCCCTCCCCACCCCAACTCAAAGATAATGTTATTCTGACTGTTAAGGTAATTTCTATTTGCGTTTCTTTATAATGTTATCACCTAGTGTGTGCCCTAAAATACAGTGATTTACTTTTGCTTGGTTTCAAACTTTATATACATGAAATCACACTGAATATATTATTTTGTATTTTGTTCAATGTTTTGTTTTGGAAGATTCATCCATATTGTAGCTCCAATTTATTTATTTTCATCGTATAATATTCCATTATATTATATTCCATAGTTTATCCATTCTACTCTTAAGGAACAGTTGAGTGATTCCTAGTGTTTGGCTATTATGAAAAATGCTTTTTTTTTTTTAATTTTAATTTTGTTGTTGAATGTACACAGCAAAACATACACAAACTCAACATTTTCTACACTTTAATTCAGTGACACTGATTACATTGTTCGAATTGTGCAGCTAGTCTCAACTCTCTGAGTTGTTCCTCCCCCATTTACATAAACTCACTGCCCTCTAAGGTTCCTATCTAATCTTTATGGCTGCTAACCAAAAGGCTGGCAGTTTGAATCCACCAGCCACTCCTTGGAAACCCTATTGGGCAGTTCTGCTCTGTCCTACTAAGGGTCGCTATGAGTTGGAATTGACTTGACAGCAACAGGTTTAGTGTCGGTTTTTTGTCAGTTTGATCCCATGTAGATAGTTCTTAAAAGAGCATAATGCTCAAGGCACACATTCTTTTCTAGTTAAGCTAAATTGTTGCTTTTAAAAAAGATTTCAGGGGATATTTTTTGTTTAAGTTTTAAAGATTTTCACAGGGCAATAGTTTCAGTGGTTCATCCAGCCCCATGGCTCCAGAAAGTCTGGAGTCCATGAGAAATTGAAATGCTTTTCTACATTTTCTCCCTTTTGATCAAAGATTCTTCTATAGAATCTTTGATCAAAATGGTGAACAATGCTCTTTAAACATTCTTTTACATGTATTTTGGTACAAATGTTCATACATACCTCTAAAGTGTATACCCGGAGTAGAACTACTAGGTCGTAGAGTATGCATGTCTTTACATTTATTAGGTCATGTGAAACTGCTTTCCAAAGTGGTTGTACCAGTTTGTATGCTCACAGCATTTTATAAAAGTTTCATTGCTCATCATCCTTGTCAACACTTGGCTTTGTCAGACTTTTATTTTGTCCATTTAGTAGATGTGTAATGTTATCTTGTAATTTTATGTTGCTATCTCTGATGTCTGTTGTGACTGAGCACATGAAACATTTGGCCATCCATCAGGATTTCTTCTTCTATGAAGTCTGTTCAAGTCTTTTACTCCCCCTTTTTTCTTAATTAGATTATCTTTCTTTTTCTTATTAATTTGTAGGGATTCTTTATATATTTCGATACCTGTCTTTTGTCAGGGTTGTGTGTTGCAAATATTATTATCTCCTTCCATTCTTTAATGAACAGAAGTTTTTAATTTTAATGTAGTTGAACTTAAGAATCTTTTCTTTTATGGATCTTGGCTTTTGTGTCCTATTTAAGAAACATTTATTGACTCCAAGATCATAAAGGTATTCTTCTATATTCTCTTGTAAATACTTCATAGTTTTACCTTTTCTGTCTAGGTTGATAATCTGTCTGAAGTTGATTTTTGTGTATGGTATGAGGCAGGGGGTCCAATTTCTCATTTTCCCAGAAGGACACTCAGTTGCCCCAGCAAAACTTATTGAAAAGAACACCCTTTTCCCATTGTTCTGCAGTGCTACCTTTGTCTTACGTAAATAATTTTTCCAAACATGCAGAGATCTGTTTCCGTGGTCTCTTTGTCTATCTCTGCTCTAATTCCATACTGTCTCAAATACTACAGCTTTATGATAAATCTTCATATCTGGTTAAACAGACCCTCCCATCTTTCTCACTTTGTTGTATCCTTCAGAAGTTACTAAGCTATTTTTACCTAAATTTTGCATTTTCACATAAATTACAGAGTCAACTTGTGAAATTATGTTAGTAAAAATTACATAAGGCTGATTTCCAAAGTGTAAAGATAACTCACTTGCCCTCTTTGCAACTTCTCCATCTCTGACACCACCCACCAGGCACTTTCTCTGACTCTTAACTACCCAGAGTTAGATCAGACCTCATCCCTGGCCACCCTGAGCCAGGTCAAAACACACAAGTTAGGACTCTGTCCTTCAGACTACCAGATAGGCAGACACAGCCTCTGCTGGTTCTCATTGCCTCTGGTGGGTTCAGTAACTCACTAGAACAACTGATAGAACTCACGGAGCATCATCTGTACTTACTGTAACAACTTTAATACATTGAAACCTGTGAGAGCCTGAACTCAACAGGACTGCTTTGTCTTTCTGGGTCTCACAAGTTTTCTGCCTCAGACAGGGTGCAGCCTTATCACTTTTCTGTTGTTCTCTATTACTGGAAAATATTTGAGTTTTCCTTTTTTGACAGATTTCTGCCTTACACAGGTTCTGAGTTTCATGGGTTTTTCTGTATAACCACCAATGCCAAACCAAATGCACTACCATCGAGTCGATTCCCATTCATAGCGACCCTATAGGAAAGAACTGAACTGACCCATAGGGTTTCCAAGGATGTAAATCTTTCTGGAAGCAGACTGCCATATCTTTCTCCTGAGGAACAGCTGGTGGATTTGAACCACCAACTTTTCGGTTAGCAGCCGAACACTTAACCACTGCTCCACCAGGGCTCCTGTTTGTATAACCACAAAAGCATACAAATGAGATGTACAAGTCTGGTTCCGGGAGACTTCATTGTCCTCAGAGATCTGCCACACCTCTGGCCAGTCCAGGAAGCCTAACTGCCTTCCTATTCAGGGTCTTTTGTAACAGTTACTAGGGCCTCAGTGCATGTGCATGATTACTGTCTCGTTGTATCTACATGATTGATCAAATCAGTGAGTATGCATGTTGATTGTATCATGCCTCCCTCTCTTCCTAAAGTTATTTGCCATGTGTGGTCCTTGGGAGGAGCCCTAGTGGCACAGTGGTTAAGCGCTCGGCTGCTAACCAAAAGGTCAGCGGTTCAAAACTACCAGCCGCTCTGTAGGAGAAGGATGTGGCAGTCAGCTTCCCAAAAGACTGTCGCCTTGAAAACTCTATGGGGCAGTTGTACTCTGTCCTATAGGGTTCCAGTGAGTCAGAATTGGCTTGGTGGCTACAGGTTTAGTTTTTTTTGTTTGCTTGTTTTGGTCTTTGGGGCTCCCACTACATTTGCATGTGTGTAAGTGTTGCCTGGCTATTTTGGAAAACAAAGGCATTGCTGGTAAATTCCATGGGTTATTTCCAGTAACCAGAGACAAAAGGCCAAATCAAATTCTTATTTCAATTATACACCAAAAAAACCCTGTTGTGGTTTCAGTTGAGATTACATTGAATCTGTATGTCAGTGTAGGGAAACTATCATCTTTACAATATTAAATTTCCTGATCTGTGAGCATAGTATGGCAGCTCTTCACTAATTTAGGTCTTCTGAAACATCTTTCAATAAAGTTATAGTTTTCTCCATAGAGGTCTTGTATTTCTTTGGTTAGTTTTATTCCTAGGCACTTGATAGGTTTTGGTGCTATTTGTGAATGGATAGTATTAAAAATAATCAAAACTCAAATGAAAGAATAAGGTTTATTCCGAGCAGACATTGTATATGCATTCAGGGAGATCATTTCACTTCTAAAAACGAGTGTGTCAAAGTGGGCCAGTTACAATTAAAAAAACAAAAACCTTTGAATTAACTCAAAACTATATTATATTTGATTGTTTTATAATTTAATGAACAATTTGCAGATTGGGGGAGTGAGAGTTTCCCTACATGATTTAGAAGAAGAACTCCCAAAGATTGGACATTTCACAGAAGCTTTAAAATATTTTTTTCTTAATGAATACAGGTTTCCATGGTGACCAAGTACTTCATGGTTACTGAGTTAGCATAAAAAGGTAACTCCTGAAGATTTGACCTCTATTGCTTATGGATTACTGAGCTTCCATTTGCAGTGATGGAAAAATCAAATTAATTAAGGGTAGGGTTGCACAGCCGATTTTTGTGAGTACTGTCAATAAGTTATACACTTGTAAAAAGTTGAATTGGGAAAAGTTGTGTGATAGGCTTATTTACCACAAAGACAAAAACAAAAGTAGCTGCTGAGACTGCTTATGTACAGCCAGACACCTCATGGTATTTGGTTCCTTGGTTTGGAGGTTTAGGGTCATGGTTTCATGGGACATCCCAGTTAATGGTGTTGTAGGGGAAAACCATCACAAAGTTTAGTAAAGTAAAAAAAGTTTTATTCGGCATATATTCAAAAAGACAAAAGTGGTAAAAGGGACACTCACCCTGCCATAGCTATGTCTGCCCGATTCCAGGGAATATTACAGAACAGGCAAGAGTGGGAAAATGGACAAGCATGCTGCCACAGCTATGTCTGCCCTGAGTCCAAAGACCATTACAGAGTCATCAGTATATATTAACATTACATATGGGCAAAACCATTGAAAGCTTCACCTTTTCACAGATTGGCTAGAAACTGTGATCCTACATTTTGAATCGTCTTTCTTAACAATCATTGGTACAGGTTTCAGTAATGACAGTCAGGAGGGTCTTTACTGGTCCAACAAAGTTCTGTTCACTAAATGCTAAGAGAAAAAGACCAGAGTG